TGTCCCTTTTATTTATGCAAGTTTAAATCTCTAGGAATCTAAAATTTTATGTCATTTTGGACTATCCAGCTCAAGAAGCTTAAAAGGAATCATCCCCTAATCCTATTAAAATGGACAGACTGGAGAGGTATAAAGTACAGCAACCCAGAGAGGGAAAAGAGAACATCTAGAAAATGTTTGAAATAAATGATAAAATAGTGAAAAGCAGAGGAAATAGTAATGCTGGAGAATCTAGAGGCTGAAGATCCCCACCTAAATACTACCAGAAGGAGCAAGGACTGTGCAAGGCACTCTGTGTCGTGGGCTAGACAGAGACCCTCAGAGTTACACATGCCAGCCAAGCAAAGAGTAAGAAGCAGTTCATAGTGGGAAAGAAATGAGTACAGAAGATTCCTGTGTCTTCTGTCCATTTGTCTGGTAAAACTCTTGGGACACTGACTCTTACATTAGTGACTCTTCTATTATTGCTAAAATGGAAACACAGGACTTCATTCCTATAAGCACTGAGTTCACACATGTTCATTTAAAACGGAATATGATATAGAAATGAATATTTTACATTGGTATGGACTTTGATTTATTGATACAAATTTAAGGTCAGTTTTGTTATATGTATATTTCTACTCGTTTAAGGCGTTGTGCTTATTTAACTCATTTAAAAATGAAATGTATAATTAAAAATATAAGTTAATAGGTAGCCATTTATAATAATCAAACTTTTAGTCATGTTAGTTCGGTTTTCTAGATATACAAAGAAATATTTCAGTTAGATAGATAATCTTCAACACTCCAAAGACCTACAGAATGTGGAACTTAAAATGTTTTAATAAGTTAGACTTTTCTCAACAATGACACATACCTGCTTCTGGCAGCACCAATTATTTCAGAGAGGTTGATAGGCATTAAAGAAACTCATTATGGAATTTGTTTCAATGTGACAAGGCTAGCCATATTGGCAAGAAGCTGCTCTTGCCTGAACAGGCTGATGGTATGCTGTATAAACTGGACATGCAGAGAACACAGCAAAATGACTGGTGAACTTGCCTAAAGAAAATGAGACAGTCCTTCAGGGTTCCGGCTTCATAAAAGAGTCTGCCAGACATTCCACAGAACTCAAAAGGAAGTGACTGAGAAACTGTCAATATAGGAAAAACAATCTTTTAAATTTCCCGCTTCATGGAAAATTCTACCAGATACTATGGCCCTCAAAGGTGAAGATTGGATGCCCCAACATTACAGAAGAACTTTGGGTGACTATTCAGGCAGTGAGATGTCTGTCAATTATAGAGTTTTGGAAGTTGCTTACAACAATGCACTTCTTATTTACTTAGGTAATATTATGTCATTCTGGGGTCTTTGATGGAGTTGAAGACAGATAGTTATAGTTTTCCTTTGTTATGATAAAAGATAAATTAGATATAAAATTTTAGACTCATAAAGAAATATAACTGTGATTTTCATTTGATTCCTGTTTTGTTATATGTAATTTTACTTTGTTAAAGTTAAAATCTTCCGTTTTATTTAGGGAGATAATGTGAGATACCCCTATGTATGTTGTGAATATGTTTTATTACCATTGGTTAATAAAGAAGCTGTTTTTGTCTATTGCAGGGCAGAATAGAGCTAGGTGGAAAAACTAAACTGAATCCTGGGAGAATGAAGGCAGATTCAGGTAGATGCCATGTAGCTGCTAAAAAGACAGATGCCAGAACCTTACCCATAGCCTTGCGGTGATACATAGATTAATAGAAATGGGTTATTTCAAGATATAAGAGCTAGCTAAAAATATGCTTGAGTCATTGGCCAAGAAGTGTTGTAACTAACATAGTTTCTGTTAATTATTCAGGTCTGGGTGGCCAGGAAACTAATTAGTTACCTCCATTTACACCATGAGAAGCCACTTTGTTTTTTATAGATTGTTAATTTGTTAACACTGAACTCATGGCAAACAGTACCATACATAGCTCAAGCCTGAACTCAGCTATTCTCTTGGAGAAGCATAGCAATGCTCACACACATACACATACATACACACTCATGTATATACACACACAAATGTGTGCATTGCGTGATTTATAAACTGTTGATGTAATGCTTATTAGAGTTTGAGATTGTAAAGTGAACAAGAAAAGTGTTTTTGTTTGACGTCAGCAAGGAACAGGAGCTGTGAAGAGGCATTTTTTTTTGTAGCTATAGCCTTGATTTTGAATTTACAAATAAATTCTTGTGAGTAGTCAATTTTTAAATGCATTATCAGTAAATAAGAAAGAGTATTATATACACTAGTATTTGCAAAAGTCTCTGAAAATGAATTCATCCTTTTATAAAAAACAAACACAAAAAAATCAACAACCAAGTAAGTTTATATCCTTTTAACCAAACCAAATCCAACCCAACCAAACAACAACAACAATAAGTGATGTAGGGCTAGAGATGGTTCAGAGGTTAAAAACATGTGCTGCTCTTGAAGAGAACCCATGTTCAATTTCAAGCATCCATGTCATGTGACTCACAACCAACTGTAATTACAGTTTCCAGGGTTCAGATATTTCTGTTCTCTGTAGATACGTGCATTCACACGCATAATCTCACACATAGAAATAAAAGCATATAGATCATCTTTAAACATGGTACAAATGAACTTTCTGGGAGGGAGATAGAACCACTAATATTGAACTAGTCCCTCTGAATGTGAGAGGCAGTTATGTAGCTTTGTCTTAGAGGCTCCTGGCAGTGGGACCAGGATCTATCCCTGGTGCATAAACTAGCTTGTTGGAGTCCACTCTATATGGTGGGATGCCATGCTAGGCATTAATGCAGGGGAGAGAGGCTTGGTCCTGCCCCAACTTAATGTGCCAGGCTTTGTTGACTCCCCATGAGGGGCCTTACCCTTTGGAAGGAGTGGATGGTGTGTGGGTTTTGGAGGGTTGCTCAGGGGTGTTGGGTGAGAGGGAGAACTGTAGTTGGAATTTAAAATGAAATTTAAAAAACTAATAAAATAAAGAAGAAAGAAAAAGTAAGAAAAAGCCTTTAGAATAATGTAGCCAACAAAGATACAAGTAAATTAATAATGAAAACATAAACCCAGAGGCTGAGAGAGAAACATCATTAAAATGTATCTTAATCCTCTGTTCTGACATAAAACAGTCTGTAAAGATATAGGGGTAAACATATTCATATATTTTTATCATACACCATAAAGTTTAGCAAAGATAAAAAATGTATTCATTGTTGCAAAGTCGGAGATATGTGCTACTAACAGTCTACATGGGTAGGGATTTGTTCATGTGTGAGTAGAGGTGTAGGAGGATAGGGAAATACCTTTGTGGGTCCTACTCTGCATAGAATAGGTGGCCTAGCAATAATGGAACTTAGAAATGCATTGCAACTCCATTCACAGGTAGTGCAGATGTGGGTGACATACTCGGTTTGCTTTTATATCATAGGGAGAATAAAAATGAAACAAAATAATAAACTGAATAAAAGGAGATAAAGCTGCAAATAGAGCTAGCAATGAAGTATTATACAACCACTAAAATTATAGTGACATTTCACAAATATCAATGGAATAAAATTCTGAAAGTGATTAAGAAAAATAGTTTACAAGGAATGTACGTATAATAAGAATCTGACTATCTATTGAAGGGAATGAAAGTGTACATTTGTGCTGATTCACCAAAATGCCAAGGGAGACACATTTGTTTCTAGAGAAGGAAATTGTCTCTGAGCATCAGTGGCAGCTGGTTTTTCTCTTAAAGACCTAACATTCTAAATGATATGAATCTATAGAATATTCCAAAAGTAAATAAAACTTATAAACTAGAAACGTTTTTCTTTCTGACAGTGATGATCGGCATGAGAGATGCAGAAGGCAGGAAACTCATTCTCCAATGTGAAAAGCTTAGACAAATGAGATCTTTTACCTTTATGACACACACATGCTTGCACAGTTTGAATTGTCATTTGCTCTACATTGCTGGTCTGACAATTTGTTATTCATCTTTCAAGATTCTCATGGAAACTCTGAATCTGTGTTTACCTTAGCTTTCTGCAATGTTAGTTCTATCCTCCACTATAACTTTTTTTTTAAATGTACTTAGTCCTAAGCCTGCTTGCCCTACTGCATATTAGTTTTTTTTTTTTTTTAACATAATCTCTGAATGCAAAGCTACTGGTGGTGGAAATAGCTCTCTTTAGCACACTGATATGGTCAGGTCAGGCTCCTCCCAAAGAAGTCAGCACACCGCTAGAACCCAGGTCAGAGGAATCCTGGCACTGTGGCTTCTAAGAACAGCTGGTTAAGAAAAAGGCAGCACCAGGCAGGTTCTACAGTGCACAATGAGTTCGGGAGATAATGTAACCCGTTCCTGGATTCCCCTTGCCATTCCTTCACTGTTGCTCAGGTTGACTATGGGATAGACATCTACACAAAAGAGGTGTTGCTATGGAAATGTCTCCAAGTGAAAGACAACAGAGAATTCTCAAAGGAAGAATCATGCGCAAAGATGCTGTGTGTTTATGAACGAACAAGAAAACATTAAATTATTATGGGAATTTAAGATTGCAATCAAAGACAAGGATCAACGTTAGAATAAAATTGTTGAAACTGATTGCCAACACATCAAGGGCAAAGCAACTTCTTTAACTAAGTCTGAACTGACTCCATCTACTACCAGCAATAATAGGTCACTGGCCAGTTTCTCTACTGAGGGTCAGAAATTCTGGGACCTAACCATGTCAGTGTTCCTTCTTCTACTCCCCACTAATTGCTGGTTGCTGTCCCAAGACTGTATAAAATTTGCCATGATGTATCTTAATAATGAACCCTCTTCTGTTTCTACTGTTCATTACACAGTTTAAAAAATACTTACACTCAGCTTTTCAGGTGAATTTGCAAAACACAACAGTCTATTTTCTCCCCATGACTCTTTACAGCTTTGCTCTATCCCCCACCTTACCCCCACTCCAAGTTTTTCTTTTGACTATGGTTTTCCTGCTGATTAGAATGTCTTTCTGTCTTTTGTCTGATAAGCAACCCAAAGAATATCTCCTTCAGGACCCTTCTCAGGACAAGCTCTGTCCACAACGTTCCCATAATCACACTCGAGTTCTGCATAGCAACAGAGAGTGGCTCTCATTTCCTGAGGTGGCAATGTGTAAATGGCATGGTTCTGCCGTGATTGCATTCTGCTTTGGGTCACTCGTCTGTTCTTCCCTTGCACCAAACCAGAGGGGGAAAAAAAGAGATCATAGATCTGCATGGCCATTGTCTCATTAGTGTCTAGGAGAATATCAAGGACACATCAGATACTAGATATATTCTTATTAAGAAATAAGACCAAAAGAGGGAAAAATCCAAAATCTTTAAATTTGGCCTTTCACATGGACGTCAATGATGACCTTACTGATACCCTTTTTGGAAACTTCACTAAATACACTAGTGTCAGATTATTTGGTATCAATCTCAAACCTACAGCATTCTTGTGTGTCGTACTGATACAAGTCTATTTTCTCTGTTATATTGAGTTATAGACATTAAAAATATCTGTTATGGGATAAGTTGTCTCAAGGTAAAATAAGTTGATGAGGGTGAGTCCTAATCCAAAGCGCACGTTGTCCTTCACATACCATAGTCAAGACACATGCAGAGGGGCAATGCTAAGGAGCATGAGAAAATCACAGACAGAAGGCTGGGCAGTATTACAAAGAGCTCTCAGAGTGGAGTTAGTGTGTTAGTGCATTGGTATGGTGCATGTGGAGTACAGACTGTGAGGAAGTACATTTTCAGGGTTGAAGGAAATCATAATTGGTGAGTGAACCTCTAGCAAACTACTACGGCACTACATTCTTCTGGGACCCAGTTTAAAACGTTCACACTCTCTGGATCCCAGTTACCAACTACTGGAATTCTGACCATCTTCCACTAAGTGACTCTTACTCATCTGGATTTGTGTCCCCAAACCACTAGAGTCTTAGAGGTCACCTCTTCTCTCAGAAGCAGAACAATTATTTTCCATGTCTCTCCAACTGTGGAATATCCCTAGCACATGTCCTGAACTTGCCACCTCTTTTTGGTTCATTATTTTCTAGGGCTTCTCCTAATAAGTGCTTAACTGTAAACAAGTCCTGTGACATCATTTTTCTTCATATTGTTTGCAATTTGGGAGACAAGTTTAAGTATTTGCTATATGCCTGCTGAGGATGTAATAAAAAAGAAAAAAAAATCTAGTCTTTACTATTTTTTGAAACATTTCCTTATTGCTGGGCAGTGGTGGCTCATGCCTTTAATCCCAACACTCGGGAGGCAGAGGTAGGCGGATCTCTGTGAGTTCGAGGCCAGCCTGGTCTACAAGAACTAGTTACAGGACAGATTTTAAGCTACAGAGAAACCTTGTTTTGAAAAAAAATCCTGAATATCAAGCCTCCCCAGGTACTTTTGGAGGCTTACTGTGATAAAATCTTATTAATTTGTATTATACTCTTGATATATTGAGATATCAATATATTCTTATTTCTTTCATGGCCAAATGTTGTCTAAAAGCATTAAATAATATTTCTGTGGAATGTGAGCATAATAAAGCTCAGATAAACTGACTCTATCTGTTCTGTGATTTCTTCGGGTGAATTCATACCCACATTATAAAGTCCAAACCTAACAAGCTTTGTTAATGAAATCTCTGATTACCCAAGACAGAAATACCAGAAATATTTCAAATTTATTCCTTATTCCAGTTTATATTTTATGTCCCTTTATACTCACTGTCCATTTTATAGAAGACTTCATACTTTTTAAATGTTTTGGTTGGAACTTAATGTGTCCCTTGATGCTGATTTATCCAATATGTTGTCCTAAATGCAGTGTTCATAAGGGGGATGATCAGACAGTATGGGCTCTACTTCATCGTGGGATTAATCCTATGATGGATGTTTCTTTGGCAGCATCATTGCAAGGGAAAGAAACTTTTTTATTGATTTTTATTGAGCTGTACCATTTTCTTTGCTCCTCTCCCTGCATCTCTTCTCTCCCTCTTAAACCCTCCCCAAGGTCACCATGTTCCCAATTTACTCAGGAGATCTTATAAGGGAAAGAAACTTTTCAAACTGGGGCCTGATGGGAAGAAATACTTGGTGGTAACTGTTAATACATTTTGTTATAATATTCTGTTAACAGATTTTGTTGTACAACTTTGAAGATCACAGAAGGATATTTTCCTGGAGGCTCTATCTTATCCCAAGTCTGTTTCTGGTCCTCCCTGCTTCCTACCCATGAAAAGATGGGCAGATTTCCTCTGCCTCCTGCTCCCAAATGTGATTCTCAGCTTCCCTCAGGCCTAGAGCTCGTGGACTGACAGTTCTGGAACAAGGAGACCATCAAATCCTTCATGCTCTAAGGTTCTTTTTCTCAGACCTTTCGCCACAGATCCAAACGATGAATTAACACATGAAGCAAAGGGCAGACTATAAAATAGGATATGTTTTTCTATTACAGAAAAGTCTAGTCTTCAGTCTGGATTCATTATTTGATAAACCAAAGGTCAAAGTTATCTCATGTTTAAATTAACATAGCAAAATATATGTTAAATGAAACTGGTATTAGTTGTTGTGTATTTAATAATTCATATTCTGTTTTATAATCCTTAATAGGCACAAAATTATCTAATATCAAAGGACACATGGATTTAAAGAGTTAATGGAATAAAACTAGAAAAATGAAGGGAAAAATCATGAATTAAAGCCCATAAAACTAAAATGAGTATGTGAAAGTATGTAATACTGTGAGGATTACTATCATAAAATGAGATTAAACAATTAACTAAAATGAAAAAAAAAGGGCAAGATATTTTTCATGTCAATCACAAACATTTTAGGGTACATAAAGGCCATTTGAATCACTACAATCTCACTAATACTTTTCCTAAAATTTATTGCAGCTAGCCACATTAAGAGATACAAGTAGCATTTGCAGACATGGCCTCACACTCTGCAGAGAGACCATCACTTCCCAGAGTTTCAGAGTCTTAATTGTTTGTCTTGGTCCAGATTCCCAGAGCACTAGTAGAGCTGTGCTGTGTTTTCTGGAATCATTTTGCTTTGGCAACCAGAATCTGATTTTAGCAATTCTTTTCTCAGAAATATAATTTTAACTTGCAGTGACAACATGAACAACACAAAAGGATTAGCTGCACACACTTGTGAATCCACTCCTAAACTTACTAGATTCAGTCAGCTCAACAGCACTTTGAAAACACATAAGTATTTCTGAAACTTGTCCTGGCCACATGCCTAAATATAAAAGTATAGACATTCCTGGTAATTAGGCGGGCAATATGGGGTAAATGATATGAGCAAGCAAATCACTCTGCCTCCTACATTAGTGCTAATGAGAGTGTGCAGTTAATGTTCCCTCTCTTCCTCTCGGTTTCGTGTCCTCTGTGGGGTCCATTTCAAAGGATTTGCTTTTGTACCATGCCCCACCAAGGAAAATGCTTACTTACCTCACTTATGAAGGATTTGGCTGTGGCAGGATTCATAACAAGGATGGCTCTCCTGAGAGTGTCTCGGTAGCGATTCAACTCCTCTATCCTCATGGTGTCGAAGAGGGTGGTGATCATTTTATTGATGTTGTTTTCCACCTTCTGAAGGGCAACATCCATTCCCTGCTGAGATACTTTGTCCAAAAACTCCTGTATCCCACGGATATCTACAAACAACATAACACAGGATAAAAAAAAATCTTATCATTTCTGAGCAGTTTATTGTTCAATAAGGCATAAATTCTCAGATTTATTTATGATTTGGCTTAACTAATATCTGTACATGTAAAAACATAGGAGTTAATACAAAGGGATTTATTTCTATCTACTTATCATTGTAAATTAATTAGTGGAAAGAGTTGGTACATGGCAGAGAGGGGTGTAAAAGAGGTCCATTTCAATAAAGCACGACTAATTTCTTCAGCATTAAAGAGGAATAAACAGAAACAGTCTGTTAAGCTTTGGTACTGAATCTCACGATGGAAATGGGTTATATATAGCAATTTTAACATATCTTGGTAAATGAATTTAAGGTTACCTTTTCTGAAGGAAAAGCGTTATAGTAGCATTGGAGACATATTAAGGGAAAACTATTTCCTCTTGACCAAATGAATGAAATCTACCTCTGGCCTGGATAGAGACCTAATATACCTAGCTACACAAAACATAATTTAGTTGAGCAACTTGTCTTAGAGATCAACCTAAGGAAGGCAGTTTCACGTAATGCCACAAGAAAGAAATGAGAGGAATAATTATCCCTTAATGAGATAATGTAGTTTTCTCTCCAGGACCCCTGTGTGTGGTGCAGTCACTACAGGGCTGCCAGGACTCTGTTCCATCTCTCCACATTTCCGCTTCGGGGGTACAACTTCATTTGTCTTCCTTTCTTACTCTTTCTTTTTGATGTTAGGCAGAGCCTAAGTATATTTTCCCTGGTACTTTGGACCTTTTGGCTCCCTTCCTTTTTCCATGCAGTTATTTGCAGACGCTTCACACATCACTCAAAGGCATGGCCTTCGCTGTTTTTCCTTTCCATAGCCCTCTTCTCTGCAGAGGCTAAATTTACAGCTTTCCCACCCTGGAACTTTTTTTTTCCAATTTTAATAAAATTGTCTTTGTACTTCAAAAATGAACAAAACACACTTCATTAAATTTCCTCAAATTTCTTATATCATAGAAACCATTCATTTCATTTATCATAATCCATAATCACAAAATGAGTTACTGTCATTACTGTAAAGAAATTATATTGGATCAATTAGCAGGAAGGTCATATTAAAATGTGACATTAAAGGGGGAAATAATGCCATTCATGACAAATGAATTTTAATAACATTTCTCAAAAACAGATAAACCTCCATTAAATCAACATTCATAATATAAATAGAATATTTTGAGATGTTTTCTTCCAATCCACTCAATGCTTACATACAACAAACTCAAATATCTAAATCGAAATATCCTGTAGGAGATAAAATAATTTGGTTTCAGAACGATGGAGGTGGGTGACATCATGTGTATAAACAAATGAAAATGTAGTTTAAGTATTTTTGAAACAACTATCCAAGATTTTGAATATTCAAAAACCTTCAAAATATTTATACAACAATTTCAAATATGAAAAGTTCTAAAATGTTCTCTAATATAAATTACTGTGATAATATCATGTTTGAGTAAGGGGGATAAAATATAATATAAAAAGTAATTATCAATATTTTAATTTTATTAGTTCACAGATTATATTTTTCATTTTGTGCCCATGGCATAAAATTTTTAAAGCTAAAATAGTTGGTTATGCATCAGAAATGAGAAACTTAACACCTATGGAATCTATGTCAAAATTTCTAATTGTATGTGATTGCATGCCTGCAAAATTTGCCTCTCAAGTGAAATAATTAATTTGAAAGCAGTAAGTAAGCTCATATGACAAGAACTCAAGAGTTTCCAACATAGAAAGTGGTATTTATGCATAATAAATTTTTTATTTGCAAAGTTACAAGTTAGTTTTTAAAAACTGCACTTTTATGAATAATTTCAATTTTACAACTTCACAGTAGTGATGTGTTCATCTCTGTGAGAATTCTGTCTGTATACATTTCACCTTCCACTCTGTATTCCTAATAAGTTATAAATCTGAGCTATCAACATAAAAGGATAAAAGGCTCAGTGGAGACTGCAGAGCCAGAGACAAAGGAGTGGGAATAGTGAAGGCTAAACAGCCAAGTCTGAAAGTATCTGACAGTACAATGCTAACAGGTAGTCTGAACAGGGTTAAATCTAATGGAGCAGAGCAGAAAGTGGTCTATAAATAATATCAGGATTGTGAACATGCAAAGCAGTATTTTTAACACTTTTGTGTCAATCACAATCACTTGAGAGAATTAAAAAAAAAATAAGCCTGGGTCCATCTCAGAATTCAGAACATAATTCTAATTTTTAATTGTCAGGTTTTATTCTATTCTATTTGAATTACTTAAATTTTCATGTAAATAAAACATAAAAGCAAAAACAACATTGGAAAGAATCTGAGATCCTCCAGATTGTTTACACCATGAGTTTTGGTTTTAAAAGTAAAATGTTGGTGAAACTTCACTCCTTCACTTAAAAAAAAAATGTTTCTTTAAAAAACGTTATTCACTGACTAGGTGGTATTGGCACACACCTTTAATCTCAACACCTAGGAGGCAGAGGTAGTTGTATCTCTGTGAATTCAAGGCCAGAATTTTGTAATCCAATGTAGATTTCTGTTATAGAAGAATCAAGCAATAAGTGTTTTCCACATCTGAGGATGATACAGCTGATTACAGGCAGCAACTGGTACGTATGAGAAGAGACAGATCCAAATCATGCTATTAGCAGCTATGTTTGAAAGATTCATTAGAATAAAAAGTAGGCCTTCAGGTTTGTTAATTAAACATGAATGTAATCAACCATCTCAGTTTTTCAGTTGCAATATCTTCATTCTAAAGTTCCAACAGCTACAGAAATGAAAGAACATGGTTGGTGACCTCAAGAAGCTGCCAGACTGATTGCACCTGTCAGTTTTGACTAATTCTTGATAACAGCGTGTTTTCCAGCTGTGGCTAGTCCTACTTACCAGATAAATACATAAAAGCTAGTGTTAGCCTGCTCATCAACTGAGTTATTGCAGTCTCCCCTGAACACCACAGAGGGCTGTGTGCTCAGCTGAAGTGCCCACATCTTCTCCTGAGTGCCCACATCCCAAAACCTGTAATATCTGGATATAAACAAATCATATACCATAGAGAGATCAAGCCTGAAGGTGGGGTTGATGTAAGGAATCCAGTGAGATCAACATAGAAAGATAAACTCCATAACTTGGGTGAGCCCAGTATCATCAGGAGGACCTTAAGTTGGAAGGGAGAAGCAAAGAAAAGGAGACAGCAAGGGGTTTGGAGCTGGTAGATGTGGCTTATCTGAGGAACAAGGTAAAGAAGGTGGGTGTCTCTGGAAGCTGAAGAAGGAAGAGAAGTGGATTTTCACTAATAACAAGGAGAAGAGTACATGCTTGCTCATAGCTTGTATTTATCATGCTCAGATCTGATGACAGACTTCTGACCCATTGAACTCTACATAACTTGTGTTGACCCTCCAAATTTAATTATAATCTCTAGTGCCATCAACAGAAATCAATATGAAATCATGCTTAACTCTTTAAGTAGGCATGTTTGTAATTAATATCCACTAAATTTTCGTGCGGGAGAATTTTCTGTATTCTGTCAATCATGTTTGAAAAAAATGCTGATTGTCCAGGCAGGAAGTATAGGTGGGAGAACCAGACAGGAAGTAGAAATCATGCAATGAAAACAGGAGAATGCTGGGAAAGAGGAAGTTGATTCCTCCCAGTCCAGCGCAGACGACAGAGGAAGCAGGATGTGACCTGCCAGCTGAAAAAAGGTACCAAGCCATATGGCAAAACTAGATCAGAATAATGAGTTAATATAAGCTACAAGAGCTAATAAGTAGCCTGACCTAATGGGCCAATCAGCTTTACAACTTATAGAGATCTCTATGTGATTTTCTTTGGGGCTTGCTGGCTATGGGGTACTAGGCGGGACAGAAACCCCCAACAAGCAGGGCCCCTCATGTTATAAATTTAATTTCAGAATCACCCAGAAATGCTTCTGTGACTTTATAACCTTGATCTACTTCTGTGATCTCTGATATTCTTCTGACAGAGTCCATGATGGTCCTGAAGACTGGGATATAGTTTTTGGGTTTGTGTCACAGACCTGAGGCAGTCATGAAGACTACGGATCCTTTCTTAGTAAACTAAGTAGCCCAGCCATTCTGCATCACATTGTGCCTGTCAGTGCTTTGCCTGGTCTCCCTGCTGTCCTTAGGGAGGATAGCATGGGTGAGTCCCAGCTTAGTGTCACCATTGCTTTTAAGGAGTGTGGACTTCATACTGCCACTTCCTTCACATCTATGGAGTCCAAAGTTATTGTCTTAATTTTCAGATGGAAAATGATCTTCTAAATCACTTCTAGTCACACTTACCATTTTTCTTTTGTGGAACAGTTTCTTTGTGTACGGGAAAAAAAAAACTGCATTTGATGTCAGAAAACCAGCCTTGGGTCAGAAAATTACTTCTACAGTAAGCTCTGTTCACTTGGAATCATGTTCATAATTGATGTCTTCTCTGTTCATTTTTTTCCAGATTTCATCTCTCTTTAAAGAGCAAGATGATTTTTTTTTTACTTGTAAAATAACTCCTGTTTCATCCTTTGATTTCACATGTGTCTAGAGTTTTACATTCTTACCCTGATGATCCTATTGTACCAGGCTAGTCAGCCCGAATCCTTGGTTTTTACAAAACAAGTGAAATCGAGTAAAGCCACAATGTAAACAAATAGTTTCTTTTGTATACTGAATTGTAATGTAATGTTATGGTTGCAAGAGTCAGAGAATCTGGTTAGACAAGGGAAACAAAAAGCCAGCCTCTTCCCTATAAGTAATAGAATTTTTCCAGTCAATTACAAATAAAAAGAGGAGGAAGCAGAAATGAAGGAACAAATGCAGGGAGGGAGTTCCAACTTTTAATACCTAGTGTTTGACTCATTTCATGTACCTATGCAAACACACACACACACACACACACACACACACACACACACTACAGCCCAAGTAATTTGGTGATGAAGAG